GAAGCTTTGCCAAATAGTGGCCTACATGGAGACATTCCTATAGGAGTTCTGTATGCAGTCCTATAAGCCCACATAGCATAGTAAAGTTTGACTGACTAATCCATTTTTGTTGGATTCACAGATTTTTCTATAATTCTTTTAATTTTTTGATTGGATAATTTAGCCAAACCACTTGTCTAAGGATGATAAACAGTAGCAATCCTATGATTTATATGATATTTCTTTAATAACTTCTCGATTATAGCATTTCTAAAATGACTTCCCCCATAAGTAATGATAACTCTCGACATCCCAAATCTACAAAATATATTTTTAAGAAAAAAATTTCAACACTTTGAGCATCACATCGAGGTAAAGCAACAGCTTCTATCCATTTGGATAGATAGTCCACTGCTAACAGAATATATAAATTTCTGAAAGATGGTATAAATGGTCCCATGAAATATAATTCCCAAACATCAAATATTTCAACTTCTAGCATATAATTGATTGGCATCTCATTTCTTCTAGAAATATTGCCTACTCGTTGAAATCTATCACAAGTTTTGATATAAACATTAACATCTCTAAAAATTGTAGTCCAATAGAATCCAGATTAATAAATTTTGTATGTTGTTTTATCAACACTAAAATCTCCCCCAAATTCAGAATTATAACATTTTTGGATAATTTCATAAGTTTCTTCTAATGGTACACATCTTCGAATAATTAGATCATTTCCTAGTTTATATAAAATGGGTCATCCCAAAAATAAGTCTTAGCTTCAGAAATAAATTTCCTCTTTTGTTGGTATGTCATTCCATAGGATATAATATCACTAACAATAAAATTCACAATGTCGGCATACCACGGAATACACCACTCATTAATAGGGAACAATTTTTCTTCTTGAAAATGTTCATTAATTTCTTTTTCAAATCAGAGTGGTTTTTCTAACTCATGCCTGGACAAATGATCAGTAATTTGATTTTCAGTTCCCTTTCGATCTACTATTTCAAAATCAAATTCTTGCAAAAGAAGAATCCATCTTATAAGTCAAGGTTTAGCATCCTTCTTTTTCATTGAGTACTTAATAGCAGAATAATCTGTATGCACTACAAAATGAGTTCCAATTAAATATGATCTAAATTTATCAAAAGCATATACTATTGCTAATAACTTCTTTTCAGCTGTTGTATAATTGATTTGGGTTTCATTAAGAGTTTTACTAGCATAGTAAATTACTTTGAAGATTTTATCATATCTTTGTAGTAAAACAACTCCTATAACATAATTACTAGCATCACACATCATCTCAAAAGGTTTTTCTCAGTTTGGTGAAACTATAATTTGTGTAGTGATTAATTTTTCTTTTAATAAATTAAAAGCTTTTAGGCATTCCTTATCAAAATTGAAAATTGCATCTTTCTCCAGTAAAGGGCATAAAGGCTTAGCAATCTTTGAAAAGTCTTTAATATATCACTTGTAGAATCGAGCATGTCCTAAAAAACTTCTAATTTCCCTTACATTTATTGGATAAGGTAAATTAGCGATGACTTGAATTTTAGCAAGATCTCCTTCCATACCATTTTCTGATATTTGATGACATAATACAATTCCTCATGCTACCATAAATTGGCATTTTTCCTAATTAAGGACTAAATTTGTTTCTTCATAACGCTTAAGAAATTTAGATAAATGTTCTAAACATGATTCAAATGAAGTTCCAAACATTAAAAAATTGTCCATGGATACTTCAATCCCTTTTTCAATTAAATCACAAAAAATTACCATCATACATCTTTAAAATGTAGCAGAGGCATTACATAAACCAAAGGGCATCCTTCTAAAAGCAAAAGTACCATAATTAAATGTCCTCAAAATTAATAATGGTTAATCTATTAATAATTGAGAGGTAATTAAATTTAATATAATAATGACATCTTTAATAGATACCTTGAAGAATGACATGTAGCGACGGTCATCCGCAATATGAGTCAAAATGGACTAGAATGTGAGATCCTCAGACTTAATTATCTTGGAAGCTTAACTTACTAGAGCCTTCAGACCAATTGAGAAATATCGGTTGATAGTCTCTGATGAATGTTGAAATCGCTCCATGGCTCCTCTAATGTACTTATTCTAGTTGAGTCATTCAATCAATGTTGTTGTTGTAGTTCGTAGGGCAGGTCGATGAAAATCTCTTTTGTCATACGAGCCTGTTTGAGAAGCATGTCGGATGACCCTATAGTAAATCACCAATCCATTTATCACCAACATAACTCGACGTCATACATGGGGTTCGGTTGATGTATATAATGTAGTAGTCGTATAACAAAATAAAAATAAAAACAATCTTTCTAACGTAGTTTAATTGTTCAAGATCCATCCTACGAAAGTAATTTAAAAGAGAATGGTAAAAACCTTTAGCCATTCAAGGACATCCATAAAACATATAAACAGATAACATATGAAAACAACAATGTTAAGCATAAAGAGTGCGGATAAAAAATGCGTGCTAGAAAAAAAAACGATTCATGATACAACGGTACAAAAAATTCTGAGAAAACATAATATCAATATTTCAAAACATTCAATTTTCTAAGAAGTAGCGTAAGAAATCGACTTGGTATTCTGCATCGAGCTTCAATAAAAATTCTCTACAAACTGGATCTTGCAATAACTTTACACAATTGATATATAGTTTCTTGTCTGTCTTAACCTCAGCATGTATAATTAGGATTTGAAGGCACCCCTCAATGGATATATCCTGTGAGGCAGCAAGCTTAACTATGCAGGATTCAGCCAGTTTTTGATTGTGCTTCAGACGAATGCGGCTCCTTTCTTCCTTTTGTCCACCGTGCCATTTTGAAATGGATGTGAATTCCACATACCTTTAAATTTTGCAGGGCACTTCTCCTGAGTCATTTACATGATCGATCCCCAGGACATCTGTTGTGTTAATGAAGTCAGGCTCCGATGGGGTAACAGCCTGAGCTCCCGTTGCAACAACCCCACTGAATATACCATCTAGCTTCTCTTCCATCATTGGATCAATGCCATTGAATTTTAATTTCTTAGCTGCTAGCACCACCTGCACGACATAGCAATTTGAATTAGTTAAACAAGTTTATTATAAATAAAAATGAATAAGAAAGTGATCAAAGGTAAGTCATTACCTTTAGTTGCTCTGCCCACCAATCATCAGGAGCATCTATTGTCCGCTTCACTGGATTCCAGCCCAAACCTGTAGTTTCCCTCTTAAGTTCTTTCGAGATCATCTTTAATTGATTACATTTATTCTTCAATTTCATCATATCATAATCTCTTCCTGTCAATTCATTGAATTTAACCATAGCATTTTGTCAACCTTCTATTTCCCAGCTCGACCTCCCTAAAACAGAGATTACAGAAAATATTTGTGGCATCGCCGTCCCACATGACCGATGATCCAATCTCTTTACTCTTATTCATTGCTCTACTTATTAATACGAGGGAAATCTAAAAGGAAGTGTTTAATAACATTAGCAGCAAATATTTAACCAAACAAAAAATCAACTCACAACAAACAAATCTAAACATATGGCAACATTATAAAATACTACAAATTATTTTTGAAGAGGAAGATGTAGTACAATCCAACATGAGATGAGTTTGATGGAACTGACATTTTTTAAAGTTGATGTATAATTTTTGGGTACGCTGGTATTTAAAATTATTTTTATATGGTTCAAGTGGTCTTCTCAAGTGATCTTATTTATCAAGATATTATCCGCATAAGCCATAAGAAATTTGCTGATAGAAAATCGTGCTACATGATTCATGACTAGAATGAATGTATCCACAGTGTTCATTAAAGAAACGAAACAATATAAGAAAACACATGTAAAGTCCCATAGAAGATGTTGAAGTTGGTTTCTTCAAATTCTTTTTTTTTTTAATGAAATTAGATCTATTGAAGCCGATATATAAATCAATTTCATTAAAAGAAGGTAAAGTACTACCTTAAATGGCCTAATAAAATGCCAGCTACATCTATAGTTAAAATCATTTAGAAAACTGCATATATATCTATCAATGGTTATATATGAAAAAACTTATATTTGTACTTGATAAGGTGGTATTCCATAAACAGAAAAATCATGAAATGTATGCAACAAAGGCTTTAAAAATTTCAGATCAGTAGGGAATGTGGAGAACCCATCATCAGAATTTCAAAAAAAAAAAAATTAAGGAAAACCCTATGAATAAAGTTAAGAAATTTTATGGTATACAAAAAACGTTTGCATGCTTCGCCTGGCTTTTGGCAAAGGAGCGTTGGAGGTAGGGCGGAACGATGAAGGTAGGGGCTTCATCTGGCTTTCAGCAGAGGAGCGATGCGAGGAGGGCAGACGAGGGACGAAACCTGGCTTCGCCTGGCTTTCAGCAGAGGAGCAACTCAGAGAGGGCAAACGAGCGCCATAATATGTTTGCTTGCCTTTCGGCAAAGGAGCGGGGTAGGGTTTGTGATCACACAAGGGCACGGAGGTAATCACTGGGGGCGAATGCTGAACGCGAACGAGGATTGCGGGTATAACCCCGCGATCGCGTTGCTATGAAAACACAAAACACGGTTTAGGATGCGCGCCCAAAATGTGCGAAACAAATGGCAAGACAGCATTTTCAAACTGCCCCCCGCACTTATAAGCTGTCCCAAACAGGCCCTGAGCCTCAAGAGAATAGTGAGCTGGGAAGAATAGCTTACAATCAAGTAAAATAGCAGATGCACGTAATCCTTTACTCAAATAACTGTTTTAGCATTCTATTCAACAAGTACTGAAGCCTCATCATCCCATTATTAATTTTAAAAGCTTCACGGTTGAAGATCCTTGAGCGCACGTACCACTTGTCTGATGCTAGGCCTTTGAGAAAGCTGTTCTTCCGTACATCTAAGGGCCAATTTAAATGTTTCTATCAACTGTTGACGGGGAGCAACTTGCCAGAGCCCCTCAGTGAAAAACTCATGAGCACGAGTTTGGTGTAGAAGCATAGATGCCCACGTAACAATGTTGAATCCATCTCCGTAGGGAGAGAAAGATGGATCGAGTGCTTTCTTGTCTGACAATAACTCGAGCAAAACTACGCCATAGCTATAAACATCAGCTTTATCTGAAACTCTGCAAGTCATAGCATACTCTGGAGCAACATATCCAAAAGTTCCAGCCACACCAGTTGTCGCATGTGTTTCTGAATTACCCAAAAGCCTTGCTAACCCAAAATCAGAAAGATATGCATTGAAATCATTGTCCAGCAAAATATTACTTGGTTTGACATCCCGATGAAGAATGCGTGGCACACACTGACCATGCAAATAGGCAAGGGCTCGTGCGACATCTAGAGCGATCTTGTGAAGCATTTTCCAATCTACAGGTCGCCTGGATCGTTCTTGTAGGAACTTTTCCAGGTTACCTCCTGGGAGAAAATTGTATATTAAGAACATCTCATCATCACTGCCATAATATCCTATCAGAGTCACAAGATTAGAATGTCTCCACATGCCAAGAGTTTTGATCTCTGCATGGAACTGTTGAACACCTTGAAATCTTCCCACTGAAAGCCTTTTTATGGCTACATGAACTCCTGGTGAAATCTCAGCTTTGTATGTGGCCCCAAAACCTCCACTTCCGATACAGTAGCTCGTATTGAAGTTCCCTGTGGCTCTCACTACAGTCTCATAAGTCAATGGAATTCCAACATCCACAAATGTTGTTACATCTCTTATTTCAGAAGACTGCACTGAAGAGCTTGGCACACATTTCTTTGAATATATATAGAGAGCAAGCAAAAATAGAATCACCGAAGCAATAGCTGCTGCTGAAGCAATTGCGGTAATCCAAAATGAACTGATATCAGCACTACTTTTAGCAGGTGAAAATGGCGCCGGTATATTATTTTTAATATGTGAGTGGGTTTCCTTACTGCTGTTTTGAAAATGTGAAACTGAAATAGATAGAGGATTGTCAAGGCATGCTTGCCTCAAAGGATTGTCACGAGGCCTATCACAACTGATCATACTTGAATTTAATGGCAAAGGACTGGATAAATTATTGTATGACACGTTAAACTTCGGGTGTGATTCCACACTAAGAAAATCAGAAGGCAAATTTCGAGAAAGTTTGCTATCATTGAGCATAAGAAAAGAAAGTTTTCTCAATTTCACCTGTCCACTGGAGATCTCACCAGTATGAAAATTGGATAAAAAATCCAGTTCCTGGAGGAAATGCAAGTCATTCAATCTGGCAGGAATTTTACCACTAAAATTGTTATTGCCTATGCTGAGATGTCTTAAAGCTTTTATTCCAGAGAGACCAGCAGGAAGGAATCTCTCCCTTCAGCTGATTCTTACACAAGTCCAGCACAACAAGTCTATCCAATTGCTTGATGCTCTGAGGAATAATTCCAGTAATTTGATTACTGGAAGCATTAAGAACAATAAGAGCCCTGCAGATAACTCCAATATCAACTGGAATTTCACCGGAAATCCTGTTGCCATTGCAAATAAAAACCAAACCGCTCAACTCTCTGCACCTGCTGAACAAACCATCAGTTAATGATCCAGCAATATAATTTTCACCTATTTGGAGGGTATAAACAGTATGATTTTCATATCTATCGGTTACAACTGGTAAAGAGGACAACATGCCAGACAAATTGTTTCTGCTAAAATTATGATAAACTACATAATTCCTGCTAGATTCAAAGTAAGGCAGATCAATTTCTGCAATTGCCCTAGAAGTGAAAAACGAAGAGTATGCAGTAAGCAGGTCATTGGTTGGGGAAGGCAACAAAGGGCACTTCTTGTGAATAAACCTTGGAATGGAGCCAGATAAATGGTTTCCGCTGACATCAAGGAAATCCATGCAAGGAACTGGGAGCTCCTCACTCAGCGAACCGGTCAATTTATTTAAGCTAAGGTCGAGGAACTTAATATTCACACATTTGCTGAGATTTCTAGGAATGTCGCCTGTAAATCTATTTTGACCCAAACTTACCATCTCCAAGCTTTTACAGATACCCCAATAGCTTGGAAAATCCCCTTCAAGGTTCCCTTTGGGAGCCCACAATATCCTAAGCTTTGGCAAAGCCGTAATCTTCCAGGAAATCCCACCGTGAAAATAATTAGATTCATCCTTCTCATGATAGATCGAGGAATTCTGAGCAGGCATGCGATCAAACATGTTTGTAAGAACAATCATAACCAGCTCCTTGCAGTTCCCAAGTTCTTCAGGAATATAGCCTCTCAAACAATTCTTCGACACATCCAATGCTCGAAGATTTTCCAGACGACCGAGATCTGGAGGAATAACGGAATCCAAACGATTTGAAGCCAATAAAAGAAATTGAAGCTTGGTGCAATTCCCTAAGCTGCTGGGAATGCTTCCAATCAGTAAATTCCCAGATAGGTCCAGATACTCAAGGCTTAGGCACCCGGAGCCAATCTCTTCAGGGATTGACTTCTCCAAAAGATTAAAGGATAGATGCAATTGTGTTAATTTCGGAAAGCTGATCAAAAACCTAGGCAAGCTGCCGTTTAATCGGTTCCTGGAGAGGTCCAGAATCAACAAATGAATACAACGAGACAGCGAAATAGGAATCTCGCCAGTAATCAGATTGGAAGCCAACTTGAGGACGCGAAGCGAGCGGGGAAATCTCAAGGGTAGGGTTCCGAGCAGTGAATTTCCTTCGAGATCAATCACCTCTAAATTCTTTAACCCCCATATCTCTCTTGGGATCTCACCGTAAAAGCTGTGAAAGGCGAGGGAGAGAATTCTTAGCGTGGTGAGCTTCCCTATGGATGGGCTTAGTTTTCCGGCGAGACTCCGGCCGGGATCGGAGTAGCACCACTGGAATGGTCTGGACCGGGAGCAGGAGGGTGGAGTATCGCCGGGGAAAGCGGAGATGTTGACAGCGACGACGCGTCCGCTTGCATCACACGAGATCCATCGCCAGGAGCAGTGATCAGAAGTTACGATCCAACCGGAGAGTAAGCCCGCAGTGTCGGATACCGATGCCTTCAGTTCTAGCAGAGCTACTCT